GTTTGGCTGCAGGGGGTGGGGGAGAGGGTGGGGTGGGGGTGGAGATACAAAAGCCAGACATTTTAAAGTTCTTTAGTTTTGCCTGCCGGATGGAGGACATGATCCTGAAAAGTAGACATGTCCTCCTTTTGCCAAATGTCTGGCAACCCTACTCCCATAGGCATAGATCACGGAGGGGGGTCTCTTCCCTCAATCCTTCCTTCCTCTGCCACCAGAACTCAACAACTGGAGTGAGCGCAGTCCGTTGGTAACTGACCTTGTGTCAGTCCCCTTGTCATGGACGGATCACCATCTAGTAGAATGTAACCTCTCAGTGGCCCTCCCACCTCGCAGGCAGCAAGGATCTATTGTAATGGTCCACCCTCGAAGGCTACTGGATCCTATAGGATTCCAGGATACCATGAGAGGGATTCCGGCTGATCTGGCTGGCGCTCCTGTCGAGGCTGTGGTGGATGGTTGGGTTACGGCCCAAGGACTGTCGACATGATTGCTCCTAAACACCCTATCCAATGCAGAGCTCGGCCAGCGTCCTGGTTTAACCAGGAACTATGAGTGATGAAGCAAACCAGGAGATGTCTAAAGAGCAAGTGGAGAAACAAACCAACGGATTATAACAGAGAAGCTGTCAGGGTCGTGACTAACCATTATCTGGCTAAGATAAGGGCTGCTAGTCGAGCTCACCTCACTGACCCGATAAGCGAGGCTTCAAATCAGCAGGCGGAAATTTTCCGTATAATCCGTGACCTATCTGGAATTGATCGGGGTGAAGAGCCTCCTTCTAGTATCTCACCTGACCAATTTGCAGCATTTTTAAAATCTAAAGTGGAGGCCATCTGCCGGGAGCTTTCTCCTTTTTTGGTGACAGTGGATTGAGCAGAGATGTCCTTGCCCAGTGAGCTTTGACCATTTTCAGCCTGTAATGCCAGACATTGTGGACAAGGCACTAGTTCACTGTCGGGCCACCACTTCCTCTCTTGACCCCTGCCCGGCCTGGCTAATCAAAGCAGCCAGGCCTATAACAACTGAATGGGCCACAGCAATAAT